AATTTTTCATAAAATTTTTTTATAACGATAAATCCGAAACGGTACACGAAAAATTTCGGTATCCGGTACGTACCGTTCCAGTAACAAAACCGGTACGCATGCCGGTACGGTATTGACTACTTTGGCTCTAATGCCCAATTTGACATCCTTAAAAATAAAGAAAGGGCATTTAACTAGTTGCGTATGCATAACTCACATTAGAAAAAAAAAAAAAAGAAAGAAAGAAAGAAAAAGAAACAAGTTTATGATAAAAAAAAGGACAAATAAGAAATGCTTGCCTTCTTTTTTTTTTTTATTATACACTCATAACCATAGAAACATTACTCAAAGTTATCATTATTCCATGATGTTCACACAACCATATTTACACCACACTCATAATTTATATCCACATACTCTATAGCTTCATTACTTCAGTTGTAGGACTTTAAAGGATTTCAAATTGGGTATCAAAGACATTTTAAGGATAAGTGAATATCAAAATTTTGATTCTATACTTTAATGATATGAGTTTTCTATATAGAAAAAGCGTTGTATAGTTTAGATTGTATCAAACTATATCAGACTACACAATACTAATCTTAGGCTCGGTGATATGGGGGCTTTCCCTCATTTAATGGTCCATGTTTTGCAGTTAGGTGTAGTCTAGATTGTAAATAGGGTTCTCTTGTATATATTTTAATTTATTATTTTATACTTAATTTTATCGATATTTGAGTGAGTTGAATACTTGAATGTGATTTTATTGAAAGTTATATATTTTTTATTACTTGTGCAAAAAAAATAGTGAAATGCAAAATTTGATATTTAAGTGCATCTCTTTCAAAAGTTTAGGAACTAAATTGAAATTAAAAAAGCTGAAGTTAGAGACCAAATTGAATAAAAATAAAGTTTTAGGATCATAGTGTACAAGAACAAAAAGTCAAGGGACAAGATGATGCAATTTTACCATTAAAATTCCAAATTTTAATGGGTGTATTGACGGTGTTTTGACGAGGGATTATGCCTGGCCCTTTCTAATTAGTTGAGGGATACATATGACTCGTTTTAAAGTAGAAGAATGATTATGACCCTTTTTGTAAAGTTAGGGGATTTTTAGTGACATTAAATCTTTATATAAAATTATTAAGACTCCAACCAGAACTCTTATTTTAATTTGCACTATAGCTCCAAATTTAAAATATATAATGCCTTTTCTCCCTTCTCTGTCCCTGTCCATTCTTTATTCTTTCTGCAATATATATATATATATAAAACTGATTTATAGGGCGAATTATGCCGTCTATCTTGTAAAATTAATTAAATATCTCTAAAAAAATAATATAAAAACAAATTTAAAGACATTTAAATAATTTTATAGGACAAACTGTATGCAGTACTTCTTGTAAAACAGTTTTCAAATATATATATATTATT